TTTATCTTCTCAATTAGCGCTGTTTACCTCATTCCATTTCTGTCTGATTGACGATTTTATCAGTTTCAAAGTTCCTATTAGAAATTTGAGATGTGTTATTGTGTTTTTGGAATCCTAAAAGAAACATCAGGCTAGCATACAATCTCAGGTTTTATTTCAGCAACATAATGAAAATGAAACGAACTTGTCATCGAGCACTGCTTGCCACTTACGTATGATTTGGGTACCAGTAAAGAATGTTGACGACCGATGGTACTCATTTAGAAATTTGGTATCAATGCAGTCATCTATCCGAATTTTGATTGATTTACCACTGCAGCAAAGCAACTGCCATGCACTTAATTTTTCAGAGCTATCTTCAACAATTCTGACACCCACTGTATACTGTAAGCAATAATACAACACTAAAGAGGTCAGATTTGTTTAAAAAGATATTCTTATGGATGTCATTTGAAGCAGTTGAATCAATGTTACTTATTTATACTGTGACGGATACCCAAAAAATGCGAGTTGAGTCGGAAAGATGCAACTGCTTGTTTGTCTTACAAATTCTAGTTTCTAGTTATGATTCGTATTATCTTTTCAATTAGACTTGTTTGACAAAAACTCCATGGGGAGAGTAGCAATTGTGTTAGTGAAGAGAATTCAAGTAAGTTTCGAAGACGACAGTGAATTGTTCTCTGCTTCCATCTTGACTTCATTGTGATCCTATCATTAGCATAGGTTGGGCCAAGAAATTAAGAGACAGATGTTTCCTAAGAAGGTGTTTCTATGTTTGTGTCCATGTGAAGAAGACGAGGGTTCGTCTTCTTGGGAATAAATGAAGTGAATAGCATTTGGTATTGAATGGACTTGGTTGTCCCTTAGAAATCTATCTCTACTAGTCGAACATTAGTTCTACTCCCGATAATTACTCCTCTGTAAGCTATAAATCCTACAACGTCAATAATTGAAAATATGCTAGCACCGTATGAAAGAAGAGTACTGCTGTTAGTGAATTAAGTTCTTACCTGATCGCTTCCGCAACTTAAATATATGTCATCTAAGTAGGATGATGCGCTATCCGACATCCTACACGTTTCATTCATCCGCTGCAAAAATAAACCAATATGAGCCGAAAGTTGTATCCCAAATTTGCAAATTATAATGTCAAGTATTCGAATGTGCTATTGATTTCAACGTAGAATTGTTTGATAGTATTGGCTACTCATCTACGTGTCTATTTTAAATTAAAAAATGAACATCAAGTTGAACTGGAAAGAACAGACCGTATAAATACTGTCGAATGTTGAACATGCAAATTTGTAATAGCGTTCTTTACCAACAAAAGCAGTGTTGAAAGTTGATAGGTAAGAGCCTTGAGGACACTGGAAAGTTGTTGATACATAAGGACGCACTGTTTCAAACAGTAAGCTAATGCAGGCTGCTGTTTGCCACATCGTTTCTTTGCTATAAATAGATATTATATTTTCAGATTTTGAAGTTTTATATCTCTTTGATATTTAAGTGGAAATAACTTTCATCTGAAATCTGATTTGATAAGCCACAAATAAGTTCTGCATCTATGTGCCTATATTAAATCATGAGAATTATTTCAAAAAGTAAACGTCAACTTGGACTGAAAAGATTTATCTTCGTCCAAAACTTCCCAAATTATAATGAATTTGTCACCATTCATAAATCAAACCTTTTCATTTTGTTAGGGAGAAACTGAGCTGACAATTAATGATTCCAAAACACGAAATTTTCCAATTCAATGAATTTCATTGCGTCATCAACTTCTAAAAACCATAAATGCGAAATGAAACCATTTTTGAAAACATGCTGTGGATTTTAGCTGATACTTTAGGAACGATCAAAATTTGATTGTGAAATTGAGGAAATAGAATTCCACCCCAGGTGAAGGACAACAATAGCAATAATAATAACAATAATAACAATATTAATAATAATAATAATAATAAAATAATAGTAATAATAATAATAATAATAATAATAATAATAATAATAATAATAATAAATAATAATAATAATAATAATAATAGCAACAATACGAACAATATTTTCTGATTCCAAGGCATATAGACCATGAAATGGGGCAAGACATGGAAATTTCACCAGCAAATGATGCCCACTCTAAGGTGATGATGGAAATGATGAGAGTAGTGAATTGTTGAGGTGTGGTACATTGTAGATTGTCAGGTGACATTGACCCCTTGTCATTTACGCAGCCATTCACGAAACTTTTTAATCCCTTTTTTCACATTTAACGGAGCATAAAAATTTCAATATTCCTTTTCACTTACTGTATGCAATATGAAAAGCTCTATATCTTCAGCTTGATCTCATCTCTGTTTTATTATACCAACATTGTGCATATCGGTTTTCATATATAGGAATTAGTTATTTTGGATTTAATTTTCTGTTTTGAAGCCCCTCTTCCAGTGCTATAGAATATTCACTGAATCATTTACTCTATGCAATATGAAAAGCTCTGATGCCTAAATATAATTCCTTTAATTTCTGGTCTGTAAACTATATCTTGGAAAAAAAAAGTCATTGTGATATATTCTTCATTTTGTTATAATCTCATGCATATCAAATTCAAAAGTAGCATTTTTGATCTCCCAATTATTCATGATTTTTGGATTTCAGTACGCAAAGATGAGCGAATATTTTAAAAAAGCAATCGTAATTATGGTTGAGATGACATTTGACCATCAGAAATTTGCCCACTAAACTAGTGGTCTGCAATCTTTTCCTGACCAAGAACCACTCTGACTTTTTTGTTTATAGCAGGGACAACAAGGTTCAAACATAATGAAATTCTATCAATTTGATAAAATTTATCAAAGGGATTCAAGTATTTATAGTACAATATTACAACCTAAGTAAGCATTTCTATCGGCAACAAACAAGTCAAGGTATGTCTGAAAAAAAGACAAAAAAAATAAAACAGCCCCGCCTTTTTCTACTCGCGGATCACCTGTAGTCCAAGAACTATCAGTTGGGGACCACTACACCAACAAGCCCAGATTTCTATCATTACATAATGCTATCAAGTTAGTCTTTGGCAAGCTCCTGAAGGGTTGTTGCGGTAGTGCAGTAGGGAGGGGGTTCTGTCACTCCAAGGAATTCGGGTTCGTCTTCACCCTGTCGCATTCCAGCTCCGCATTGTCGACGCTTCATGAGCACTGCGGCGTTCAAAAAATGCGTAAACAAATGTTTGAAAGGCAAAATCGCAACCGGCTAACAACATTTCCGGTATGTTTGCCGTACTTCAAGTTTGCCACACTTCTTTAGTGCATCTCTACCGGTTGTTTTAGTCCATGTCCAGTTCAAATGGACGTAGTGCTGTTGTCGAATTGCAATGCTAAGAAGAAAGGTGAACTTTCTCGCCAATTATTAACTGCACTATATGTCATTCATTGAGTGTTTCATGGGTTGTGTATCATTTGGGATGAGTTTTAAAGGTAATTTGGATGTTCCGGTTGTGCTCATCGTTTTTGCAGTACCATCCTTTGCATCCGGCTATATCACATTTCGGTACTCGCCTGCAATTTACACAAGGTATTCCGATTCCAGTCCTGATTTTATTTGTGATAAATTGCATCGTCGTCAGGAATGTACAATCCAAACAAGTTGCAAGCTCAATTAAAAATGCTGTCCTAAATTGCTTTCGAAGAAAGGAGTGGAATAACGGAAATTCTAACCAATCTAATGGATTTTGCATTTTCAGCAGTGGAAAAAGCAACAGTTTTCCAATGATGGAATCTCCCATTGTCTTCAAATAAAATGTTATATGCACAGTTATTGTATCTTTTGATGATGAAGATACTGCTTGCTTCCCACGACATCTTTTGATCATCAAAAAATTCTCTAAAATGTTTTCTGAATTCGAGTTTTCAGAAATTCCTGGAATAAATTAAGTCAAAATTTCATCGTAGTAAGTTAAGATTAATATCTGAATAATATATTTCCTCAATTTTAAAGCTTTAGCAAAACTTGTTGGTTAATTCGATTAATTAATTTGGGATCATTATTTCTTCACCTATTTTTTTTGCGATCATGGGATCCTATTTCCCCTCCGAGGAAAATGAATTACAGAGACGAGAAAACTATACCGACGAAATCGGGATAATGATAACAAATGCTGCGAATTATCTCTCTCATTTGAACTTTTCTTCCAAGCAGCCTTCCATAACAAGGAAATCTGAGAAGAATGAAAATTTCTAAATCCGTAAAAACTTTTATTTAGTTGGGACCATGATTTCTCCACTTATTTTTCGTCTTAATAATATCTCTTCTTGGAGTTCATCCCATTTTTATCACAGGCGCTGCAATGATCTTTGGCTGATATGACATATAGATATGACAGAACTATATGATCCGCTGCCAAATTAATTAATATGCTACTATAGAATGCCATAAATTGAACATACTATTGATGTAAATGACATTATTTTTCAAAGTTGATCAGTTTTTCGATACCACAGAACAACGCAATGACACTACACAATTTTGTTCTGCTTATCTTAGGCCAAGTTGCTGGCATTTGAATCAAGAAGACAATAGTTCCTCAGTTTTCAGTAATATTGAAACAGTGTCTTAAGCAAAAAAGTTTGACCAAAAAATTTTATGGTGTACATAAAGATCTTAAACAAGTTTTCAAACCTATCTTCAAATTTTATTATGGAATTCGAATAATTTGTTGTGCATATACATTAATTAAGAATCATTAAATATCATTAATCAAGGATCATTAGTTAAGGTTATTATTAATTAATTGAAGGTCATTAAAGATTGGAAGATTATCTTTTTCAGAACCTTCAAGAAAAAAAATAATCATCGAATAATGAAATTTCAGAGCGACTGTGCTAGGCTAGTGTTTTTTGTTCTCTTCATCAACGTTGTTTTATAGCCATCCATTTTTATCGGTCCTAAAAGTCAAACGGAATATTAAAGTTTTTAAAGTCTTAAAAACAGTTTGTCTTGAATATTGGAAGGGAGTGACTGAATTTCTCGGTAGGTGAAAGATTGCAAGCTAACGTGCCACCGTTTTCCGAAAAAATTGTATGGTTTCTTCCAGTAAACTTTCTTTACATTTGTCTGGAGTGCAGCTTCTTTTTATATGATTGATAATATCATGGATGAATAGACTTTCAAACTTCTAAGTTGAGAAATCCATCGCTTCCTCTTACCATCAGCGGCAGAAGATAGCACTGAATCCAGTATGTTAAGGTGTAGGATATGTGCTCCTTGTCCCATCCTCTCCTTTCGTCTTCCTTTCTTAAAGCTTCTTTCAATGAATGAATCTTTCATTTAATACAGTAGTTCCCAGTGGTAATTCAAGAGAACTGAAATTCCTCCTGTTTTATATTATATGTCACTCTACTACATTGAGAGTTTTGATTGAAGTTTATCTTCAAATTAACGGAACTTATTGTTTTTGAATTTGTTAGTCCCTGATGAAAAAAAGTGGAAGTGGTTCTTAGTCGATAAAGAGTTGGAAACCATTTCTAATGAATGGATACGAAACCTTTTGGGACAAATTGGTTACATATCGCGACAGCAAAAGCCATAACAAAAGGACTCATCGTTCAGCGCCAGATTTCAAATCGCCCGGAAATTCAGGTCTATGTAGTGCTTACTGGTAATCTGAAAGTCAAAGATGAAGTCTTTAAAGGATAACGGTAATGATGGAGATACTGATGTGTTAGTGAATGAGGATGAAAATAAGTATTTGGATCAGATTAGACACATTTTGAAGAATGGTGAAAGAATCGATGATCGGACAGGTGTTGGGACGATCTCTGTGTTCGGGATGCATTCCGTTTATTCGCTTCGAAATGGTGAGAAGTTTTGTTATGCTAAGATCAAGTATGTCATTGCTATTTGCCATATCATTTGAAAGGACATTGTTTCCAAGATGGTTTAAAGTGAAGCTATAGGACCTTATTTGTTGAAACATTGATTCTGTAGTCATTTCGATACAGCTGTGGTTTTTTTGTAGGTGTTGTTCCGGTATTGACAACCAAACGAGTCTACTGGAAAGGTGTTGTCGAGGAACTGTTATGGTTCATTCGAGGAGATACAAATGCAAAGCATTTATCTGAGAAAGGTGTCAGGATTTGGGATGCCAATGGGTCTCGACAATTCCTTGACCAATGTGGCTTCAACGATCGATCTGAAGGAGATTTAGGACCTGTTTATGGCTTTCAGGTGGAAAATGATTTCCTGTATCAATCAAACATTCAGTGTTCAGAAATGATATCCATTACGTACTGTAGCATTTTATCCAGTGTTAGCAGTGTCAACTCACTTCATCTTATTTCACTTTCACTACAGTATTCTTTGAATTTGCTTTACTAATTTACTATTTTGCTATCATTTTTTTTCGATAGTTTTTCAACGCTGTTGAGAAAGTAATTTAATAGTGGCGACACTGCGGTGCCGAGTATCGAGGTATGGATGCTGATTACACCAACCGAGGTATCGACCAGTTATCTGAAATCATTGATCTGATCAAAAATGAGCCACACAGTCGTCGTATCATACTCAGTGCCTGGAATGTTAAAGGTGTTATTTTTGTTTTATGGTTTCTCTGCTAAAAACTCGTTTGTAATTTTTTTTCGCAAAACACTTTGGATTTGAAATTTATGGCTTTGCCGTCTTTAGATTTGAAATTAATGGTTTTACCGCCTTGTCATACGCTTGCTCAATTCGCTGTACGTAATGATGAGCTTTCGTGTCAGTTATATCAGCGTTCTGGAGACATGGTTTGATTTTGATGCCATTTTATAATTCCTTGCAATTTGATTACTGCAGTCGTACACTGAGCTTTTGATGTTTCAATTTTTGTTTGCAGGGATTGGGAGTGCCTTTTAATTTAGCGAGCTATGGACTTCTGACGCACATGATAGCACATATTTGTGGCCTTAAGGTTCATCTTTAAGATCTTGTGGTATTTTCTTTTAGACTGATTTTGAAACTTTCTAGATTCTTAACGAATCTTTTATTCAGGCTGGTTACCTATGTCATGTTTTGGGAGACGCTCATGTATATGTGAATCATGTCGACGCATTACAGGAGCAGGTTGATTATGGCTGTTTTGAATCTTAACTTCATATCTTATTTCAACTAGAGTCTTCAATAGCATACTTTTCAGCTTAGACGTCAACCACGAACGTTTCCTACTGTTCGATTCGTTGGGAATATTAAAACAATAGATGATTTCACTTACGAATCAATCATTCTTGAAAATTACCGACCGATGCCAACAATCAAAATGGCAATGGCTGTATAAATGATCTTTTTCATGTTTTCCCATAACATTGTTATCATAGTAGCTATTGAGGAAAAACTGTTTTGAATTTTCACTCTCCTCACCTCTTTCTTACAGATTGATTCAAATAGGATTTTGAGGTTGTTTTACGTTTTTTATGGTAGTTATGATATCTTTTTGTGGACTCCACTTTTACTGGTAGATTTTTATCCTATCATAGGTCATTATAGAACTGAAAAAGTTTTAATCTTTTTGGGTTCACACTCGACGTCTAATAAAAGCTTCAAAAATTGAGCAGTTCAGGTGTTAGCGAGCCTGTGTTTTTTTCCTTTCCGTCAGAAGTAAAGTTGCTAAAGGTGATTGATTGATACATTGAATGATTGATACACTCATTCAAACATTTATTGAATGACATGGTAAATCGCAGTTAAGTGTCAAATTTTACAGCTGAGCGGGGCACCCCTGACCTGGAAGAAGATTGGAGAATCTAGGATTTTCGCCTTCTGGATAAGCGAAAAATACCTGAGTATATTTGTTTCAGTACTAAATAAAACAATAGTTGTTTCCTTAGCCTGGAATCTAAATTCTGTAATGGTTTTCCCGGAGAATTCAAAAAAATAACTTCTGGCAGCAAGTATTCCCATACTCACCGAGCGGTAGTATTTTGCCATAAGCGATTTTTCGGTAAGTGGACAATCGTTGATGAAGGTGAATCTGTTTTGAACAAAGCCATGCTTTGCATTCTTCTTTGTCCGACATCTTCGACATTATCAGAGTCGAGTTTTATTCATCCAGAAAAATCACCAAATAGCATTTCACCGACGGTGGTGCTTTGTGTAACTGCTTGGATTGAGTGTTGCTGTAGAAGTTTTATATTTCAAATTTGAATAAATGCAGAAAATGAAGATTGCATTTAAAATATTAAATAGAGAGCCAGTATGTGTTTTGTGGTTTAATTCACTTTTTTAGATTGGTCGGGTGGATCTGTTCTACAAAATGGGATCCATTGTGAAAGTTTATGATGAAGACCCCACGGAAATAACATTTATTTATGATTGGCCAGTGCAAATTTTCCAGCCAGTTAATGGTTTCAATGTTTTCGGTGACACCGAAACTTTCTGCACCAATTATCGCAGTGCTAATCATGAGTGGTACCAAACTTCCATATTCTTCTGTAAATAATTCTTGCGAAGTTGGCGCTTGTAAATGACGCTGGAAGTCTCACCACTTCAAATCCGTCTTTCTTACCGGAGTAAATTGTTAGGCATGGTGTCTCTCTGGCATTTTAAGTGCACCCGGGAGTGTCAAAGTTCTTTTTAGGATGGTGCATTTGTACAGGACCAATTTTGGTGTACCATCTAGGCCTAGGATGCATCTGTATTTGGAGCAAAGTAGGGTGGTAACAACACATCCGTCACCTAAGGAATGTAAATTTTCTTTCAAGCTGCTCGATGATGATACTTATTACGGTTTGTTTTACTGCATGCTGAACTTCCGAGATTCTATGCATGAAATTTTTCCTTTTATTTTCGTCTTATTTTAATGAAAAGAAAAACGACCGGTAGTTTTCTCAGATTAAAATGTCAGCAAAATGGAATACTTTGACATAATGCTGGTAAAGATATAAATGTACTAGCTCTTGTGGGTTGAGTGAGCAGTTGCTGCAGCTTGCATTGTTATGTGTAACGAAAAGTGGCGAAAAGGAGTTAATCAAAACATTCGTGTATGCAATGTTCTAATTCCAAATTTCAATTTTAACCAGCAATGTAAACGCATGAAAATTTAAATAATGGTTACTACTTTATCGATTTATAAGAAATTGCCGTATGGAGGACACCGCGATCGATAAAATAGCATTGAAATTTGGTTTTTCCAGCTGCTTCATTATATTTCCTTTTCCTGTAGGAAGCGTAATCGCTGTACGTTCTGTGACAACGTTTTCATCACTGGACAGCTTCCGAGTACCTAGAGATTCGCAGTTTGTGGATTCATTGACACAGTGTTTCACGAATCAATCTAATAGTGGTATATGATGCCTGCATTAGCAAAAATCTTGTTAAGAACCAGTTCATACGAAATAAACCAAGAAAACAGAAAACTCACATTTCTGCTCAGTTCTTTTCGTGACCGTATAACTGACAGGCAATTTTGCGATTTTTTAAAGAATTTTTACCAATATTGGTGTGGCGTATTTCAGGAAAAACAATCGTGATTACGGTTGACCTTTTGTTCAGCACAGAATCTTTTAATTTGGGCTTTAGTAGTTGGATGAGCTTGGTTCCAGCACCTCCTGCTGATACTGCAAACGATTTTCGGTTCAGAGTTCTTAGCAATGGGAACGCGTAAGTCTTTTCATTTTCCTTTCAGTACTGATAAGAGGGAGATTATTAATAGACGGGTTTTTTATACGTCTTTTCGATTCTGATAAGTGGATTTATTGCCTATGCAATTATTATCAGCAGATATTTAAATAGAATCGATGATGAATGTGAAATGATAACGTTCGGAAATATTGAAACGTCTCTCATAGAGAAGAAATATATGATAAGGTGGAAATTTGAAATTTGTTTGATATTTTTAAAATTTTTGTTGTAAGAAGTTTCCACTTTAGAACTCAACCTAATGACGCCACTCTTTTCAGCGATTTTACCATACACTGTCGGGATGGTGATCTTAAAATATCGAAAAGTGCGTTATTCTTAAGTTCTGATTACTTTCGCTTCCTGTTCACTGCAAATGATGAAGGACTAATGTCTAAAGAACAGTCAGTACCGGATTACAGTCTGGAATCCGTTCGCAAGGTGTTTCCAACATTATAACAAATTAAAGTTACAAAAAATCAAGATTAAAAATTATTTCTTGCTAAAAAAATATTGACATATTAAAAATTTCCCTTTCTTTTCACAAATCTATATGACTTGGGAACTGCCAGAAATCACGGAAAAAAATATTTGTATATTGGACAAAGGTAATTCCAGGGAAAAACTTGTTCCATTTTAAGGTGCTAGTGTTTATGATTACGGGCACATTCGAGATGCCACACAATTTGACACCGGAATTGGCTAGGGAGCTAATTGATATAGCAATGCATTTCAAACCCTTGAATCGTGATGCGTTCAGAAATACTATTCATCGTGCTCTTTGTAAACTGTTACTGGAAGTAAGACATTTTATTCTCCCCTTTCGTAAATTTTATTCTGCAGTGCTGAACAAGATATAGGAAAGTCATTTCCTAAATGATTTCCAATGAAATGGAACTCTCTTGGGCCTGAACATGTCAGAAATTTTAGAAGTTGGACTTTTATGGTGAAGTAAAGTACCTGTTTTTTGGCGAAGTAAAGTATCTGTTATAAGTATTATTCTTTCACGACAGTTTCAGGATTTTTCAGTCTTGGACAAGATTGTTCATTTTCTGGTGTTTGCACATGAAATGAATTTATCACAGTTGAAAATAATGTGCATGTCAGTTATCGTTTATGAACATTATAAACGGTTTAAGCAGGAGTATAATGAGGAAGTAATGTTTCCTATATTTCTTAAAATAATAGTTGAAAAGATACTTTATGCTGAAAATGAGGAACGACTGTTATTCACAAATTCGATTTAAGAAATTTACCAGTAGGGTTCTCGGTTTACCAATAACTGGTGTACATGAATGTCAGTTTTAATTAAGTTAAACTAATGATTCTTGAAGGAGTGTTTGTATTTCTTACAGTCACCAAATGCAGATCACCGAGCGCTTCATGAACGTTTGCGTCGTAGTGGCTTCCTTTTAACCGTTTCTCCATTATCACGAATTGACTCTATTCGACGACAATCCCTCAAATGTCGACGAGTGTTTCGGTATGGAAGGAAATCGAGTCAAAATTCATTCCGAATGCCTAGAAATTCGAGTGATACAATGTGGAATGATATGGATTAGTGTTATCATTTTCATTCCATTTTTGAAACACTTTCGTAGAATACATGTAAGTTATTATTATTACTGTTATCATTATCACTTTATTATTACTGTTATTATTATTATTATTTTTATTGTTATCATTAGTATAGTTGAGTTTCTATTAATAAATTAGAATGGGTTAGATAAAATTAAAAGTGAAAAGAAGTAAAGAAAGTAGATGATCACTTATGACTGACACTCCATCGTTGATTTATTAAGTCCGTTACCAGTGAGGACGGTAAGAAGATAAAGACGAAATTCCATGAATTAAGCAAGCATAGGAAAAATATTTTTTTTTAAGGTCTTTTATACTATAGAGGACAATGAGCGTTCTAGGAATCTTTGAGGAAATCTTTTTCAAAGGATCTTCATTATTGGAGCCTCTCTTTGCATTTTATGAGATGATGTTTCATGGAATGTGAGGAGACAGTTCTAAAAGGCGCAGAAAATAAGTTGTGTGAAATTTTAAGGAGGTAAGGAAAATAGGTGAGAAAGTTAGGAATCAAAAAAAAGACTGGGTTCGTGCCAGAAATGAGGTGACTGGTATGTGAAAAAAAAAGGATATGGGAAAAGGATTCATGAAATGTTTGAAAAAAAGAAGGATGACGTCAAAGAAAGATGTCATGAAAGTTGGATGTAAACATTAATTCTTCTGATTCGGTAACTCTGATGCTGGTCGCATTCAACAATACTGCCTTACTAATAGTGGTCTGATAGTGTCTTGAAATCATTTCTGGAATGTTGTCTAATTTCCTTGTCACTTCGAAGGACAAACTGCAATTCTTCTAAGTTTAACACTTTTAAGTTTAACTCAGCGATGGAATATTAAACTCACTGGAAGATTTGAGAATTAATTTTCGTTCTTGTTTCATGCATATCAAATAATTTGGCTGTAGCAGTACAGATTGGATGAATGTTTAAACCGTATTTTTAAGGTATATACTTGGCCCTAACCTAATTCTCGCTGCAGGAAAGAGTTAGATTTCCGGGAAATGTAAAATTTGAAACTATCGTTGTCAGAACAATCTATAGGAGACATTTGTGTTTTGTCTAGAAACGCCAAAAAAAGATAAAAGAAGATATTGGATTAAATGTTGCTTTGCTGTACTTGACACGATGAGGAAGCATCTTCTGAAGGGAAAAGGATGGAGTCGGAGAAGTTCTGATACTTTCAGTCCCCGTCGCATTCTGTTTCCCTGCTCTGCTTTCAAATCCATCGTTCCACCCTCTTCCCTTTTCTTTTGTCATGTTCCCAATTTCGATTTCGGTGCCAGGTTGCGCATAGCAAAGTACATTTTTGGCGCATTTTTCGAGCAACGTACTACACCACAATAGTGCACTATAGTCGGTTTTCTTTCCGGCAGTTACCCTTTCTTTTTCCATTCAATACCTCCTGTTAGTTCGGTCACTTCAGAACGTTCACTCTATTTCCTTTGTCATCTTCTTGAGGGTTTTCTTTTATTTCTTGTTGCGAGATTATGTGAAATTCCATTTCAAGGTACATCAAAAACTTTTAAATGTGGTGGTTAATATGCGCTTGCTTACTCGATGCTGCTACTTTTTCATCCCCATTCTTAAAATGCACTAACTACCTTTCTCTCCTTTCTCGGTCCATTTTCTCTACTATTTGCCGTTTCGCCTGACAGTGCTCATGTAACGCATATGTTTTTAGGTTTCCTTTTTATCCGATGATTTATTTACCGAATTGACCATTTTCTGGTTTGCCTTCTTTGTATACTTATTGCTGCGTGTATTGCGTATGTTACTTAGTACGTTGAATCGTGAATTTTCAAGAATCATCAAGACTGTCGGATCAAGTAAAGGTTGTTCCCTTGGCATCAAATTTTCATCGCGAAAGTGTAGTGCATTTGAAACTGTAGATGATAAATTGATCTTATGAAGTTTTCTAATGCTTCTTACTCTGCGAACGACACGGCCGAGAAATTTGTTATACCAGAGGGAATTTATTTAAAAATTTTTCATCAGATTCATGAATGAATCAATAATTGAACTTATCGGACTTTAATGGAACATCTTACGGAGGCCGTCTCATTTTTGCTTTATGAATCTAGTGAGATACGACAAATTTCGTGTATTAAAATAAAATATGAGAGGGGCAGCTATAGCATTCTAAATTGCTCATTTCTTGGTCAAAGCAGTAATCAACAGATTGGTGGAATGTAGTAGTATACATAGCGATTGCATATTCGGTTTATTAACGTCCCATTAAAAGACTGTCATTTCCATATGCAATTAATTATCACATACTTCATTTTAATTATTCGCCTCAGGTTTATTATTAATATATGTGGAAGAGCATGAGGAATTTTTAACAAATTCTTTGTAACAGTTGTACATGGACACCTATGAAAATATTCGGTCGTTGACATTACTGGATATATGATTATTTAGCAAGGATTAAATGTGAACTATTTGATTTTCTATGCCTATACATCATTGACTGACAATCGCTGATCTGTTGATAAGTATAATACAGAATAAAAACATGTGCGTGGGCGTTGAGATTTCCATTAAGACTCAAAAATCTATTTCGTTTTAAAGTACATAGTTACTTTTTTGTAACTCAGAAAATCAATGCAAATACGATTCACTAGAGGAAATGTTTAATTATCAAATAACTATGTCTAACTTCATTTGTTCACATTCTGTTTCTCAGCTTTGCACAATACAGGAATCTGAAATGCATACAGAAATGGAATAAAGTTATGAGGTTTTGTTGAATTGCAGAAATAGATTACTACAATGCATCATCTATTCTCTCTTGTGTCTATTATCCTACTCTTTTCATTTCTCATTTTTCGATTTTTATCGTAGCAGTTTATAGCTTCCTTGGTTTATGTTTAATTACTTAGATTCTGAGTGACAAATAAGCCATCATTTTTCCCTTCCGAACTATCATGTAAAGCATTTCTGTAACATGAATAATGTAGTAGCAACCAAACCTTGATAACGTCCTTAATATTTTGCGAATTGATTTAGTTTTTATGGATGCTTTTTCCCAAGCGTCATGCCGTGCACAGCCTACCAAGGTAATGTGGAAAAACTGCAGATTAACTAAGATATCCAGTTCTCATCCACCTTTAATTGGGATCACAACATTAGCAATAACAGACTTTGTTATGTTGCTGATGGCATTTTGATCTTATTCTAATTAAGATTTGAGTACATGCATATTTTTTCAAAATTAGTTTGAAATTTTACAATAACTCGCCTGTTACCCATCAACTAATCTACTTCATCTTTTTTGTCACTCCAATAACAATAGAATTATCAAATTTTCTCGAATTCAGTTACGAAGAGTTTGAGTTGAGGTCTGTGGAGGAAATCAGTGCTGTTGAACTGTTTCAGCTAACGGATTTCATGCTTCTCAAAGGAACTGATTGGTACTCGATTAAGGCATATTTTTCTGTAGGTTGAAGTTAACAACAAAAATCTTTTAATAGCTGAAATTAGATTTTGGGAAGAATTAATTCGATCAAAAGAATCAAATGATATCGGTCTGCTGATCTTATTTATGTGTAAAATGACAAGTGTTGTTTTTCTTTTTTCTTTTTTTCTGTAAAATACACTATTTGTTAAATATCTATCTGAGAATATCTTCTGCTTCCTAGAAAAATTGTTCGTGTTGAAATGCTTTAAAAAATTGACAGTAAAACCGAATGGAATGAAGATATAGTACAAAATGAATTAAAACAACGAAAGAACGTGCTTGGAAAGAAAAACGTTGCAAACTTTATCTGTGAAAATAATATATGATTATTTACGGATATGGGTGAAGCTTCAATTAGTCCGATGCGGCCAAGAAAATTAGCCAAGATGCTTCTTGCATTATAGAATCGGAAAAAGTTAAGAAAGCATCCAAAAGAATTATCCAATATCTCTATTGATATGCATAAATAATTGAGAATCTTGAACTAAATATGCCAGATTTCTGAGAACTGTTAAGTTTTTTATGGGCTGAATAACGAGCAAACTGTAATATCCCGGCAATCCAATACTAAATTTTAACACATGACACATTAATGAGTTGAACCGAAGTATTACAAATCTTTTCCTTTGCCAACCTTTTTTGGAAGAAAGATGGTGCAATGAAAATGTTCGAAATAATTCAGTTTATCAGGATCACACTTTGTGGAAATGGTGCATTATACAAAAGCACGCTAACAGAATGAGGCAGAAGTAATAAGTCCAAACTACTTGAATTGAGTATATAATGGGCACCATAACATTTGTATCTCACAACAAGTATCATACATCAATTAAACGGCTTACCTTAACAGTGTGCGAAGAATCAGATCAGTTTACCATATAATACCATTGGATCACTTTATAGCAGTAGTAGCATTAGTATCAGTAGGACTGAAATATATCAGAAGAATTGCAACCGCTTCACCCATTTCACTTCGGTGCTATTCCCTTGAATTTTGTGATTCTTTCTCAGTAATCCTAGCCTGAGTGAGTAATATCATTTATATCGATTTCATCATCATTTAAAAAACTGGGAGAACGACTTTTTATAAAATTAAAGTAAAACATGGTTCCTTGCTCTCTAAATTACTGGTGTAAATTGCTAAGGTCATGACAGATTTCACCTATGTGCATTGAAATTGAATTATGAGAAAGTTTAAAAGCAATAAGATCTATCTGGCACTAGATACTGTTATCTTTGATGACAGCGGAATTTCGCATGGCTTTTGCAGATGATTATGCTTTTATGTTTCTGCAAAATGTTAACAGTAATTTGATGCAAGTAGAGTCTACTTGATCGTTTGAATTGAAAATGTTCATGCTGAGATGATAACTGCATGCTTTCCTGGTATTCATGCTGTTGCGTAATAGCTGGATGTCATCATTTGCCAAATTCAAATAGAAACTGGAGAGTATCTAAATTTTGCTACAGCAACAGCTATTCTGCTCCTCTTTTATATATATAAAACTAAAGAGGCAACTAGAGAAAGAAATATCACTTCCACATACTTTCATCAATCAATTGTTTTGCGCAGTTAGTCGATGCTTCAGATTTGGTTGTCATTTGCAGTTATTTATAAATATTTATTTCTTCTTTAAAGCTTTATTCAGCGGGAGAAAAATCATATTTCAACATGAAACTGAAAAGAAATTGAATTTCTATATTCAAAAAAAAAAAACTAGAAAGTTGTTTTTGAAAAGGCACACAGTATAGGTTGGGATGCTTGAAATTTCGAGAAAATTTAAATTCCCAATAACAGAATTTTGTAATGTTGGTAATAGGTTTAATGATTCAACATAAGGTTGCATGTTGTTTGCAAATATAGGACATATTACTGTATTCAATGTCCTGTAATTCCAGAATGTTGGCCCTCTCATCTAGTCTTTTTATTTTCAAATGATCAGTAAAAATAAGATGAATTTAGAGGATGAACATTATAAGTTTCAAGAACGATGCAAGAGAAGAGGGAGAAATAAGTTTAAGGAACATTGTTTGATGTGGTCTTGTACATTCCAGTTCATTTTTATAAAACAGAAAAAGTGCTATTTCACAGGAAGTAGAGGGAAAATTCAGCTTTCATCATAAGAATACATGCTCGTATAATAATAACTAATTTTCAGAGAGCACTTTTTAAAGAGGTGAACATAGATGAAATTGATATTTGATTAAAGGGATGAAAATAGGTGAAACTGATATTTGATAACTGCTTCAGCAAATGCAAAATTATTCTAATAACATCAGCCGATTGTTAGGTAAGTCCATTCTTTGCTACTAACTAAAGCTAAAATTGTCGAGAAAATCAGTTTTAATTTATTCAGTATCCAGGCTATCGACGACAAAGTTTATTTACAGTGAATATGTAATAGAACAGCTCAAGCAAGAATTGGATTTATAATTCTTACAATTGGATTATATTGTTGTTGTGAAGATTAGAAGACACCGGTGTACTAAGTTACACGTAAGTTGTACGTAAGTTAAGGGTAAAATAGAGTGAATTGGCCTCCTAGGGTTATGGCTTATAAGAAAAGTTTGTTTGTCATAATCCAAGAGATAGATCAGACCGACTGACCCCAAAGATAATCTTTACAAGATTCAAAAGTCGATATATTTAGATAAAACTCGATTTATCAACAAAAGTCATCGATAATGCCACCTAATTAGTGCAGGAGTAATTGTTAAGTTAAATCCTTTATCTATTTGACATAAATTTCATGAAGTGTGAATCCGATGTAGAATCAAATAATAAATATAAAAGAAATTTTATGCTGACATGTATCACTGGAAATCAGAGTTTATTATTTGTATGACTCATCCAACAATACTTCATTTTAAAAAAGATGAAGAGGACACCTCTTATGCAGAGTTCCTTTAAGTATATAGTACTCTTTCTTCAGTATTTAATGTTTCTGTAATTCCTTCTATCAGCTTGTGAAATATCAATCTCATTCACCATTTATAATGCAAACATTCCCGCTCAAATTAAAGTTTTTATCAGAATCTCACACAAATACCTACGTATGAGGGATGCATTACCCGATAATTACTAGATATTTTAATATCATATGATAGGTGGGTATTCGCTTCCAATATTATTCAAAATAGAAGAAGGAAAGGAGATATGATAACCCTGATAAATCAAATATAAAGGGATGTTTCGTTTAATGTCAACTTCTCTCCAATTAAATGAATCCTTTAAATGAAGGGAAATATAATGATCGTTTTTCACGAGAGTAATGGAATTAATTCAAATTTTGAAATAGAAATGTCATAAATACAAAACTATTAAACTACTTTTAAATTAATAAGCAATACATGAATCATGCTTATCATCAAAAGTGATTGCTCACTTAGTGCTACTGCATTTATGGAAAACTTACTCAGAGTTCATGCATCGAAAAGAATGCAGCATCAATTTTCAATGCGAGATGGTTATGAGAGCAGTTGAGTAGATAGGATAGGAGCTTACCTGTGATAATTACTAGGTAGCAGTTGTAACTATCATCTGTCATCGTTTTTTTAATGATTCCTTTCTCCTTTACAGAATGCCTGAATCGTGTCATATCAGTTGTCAACAACCCACCGAGAAAGAATGCAGTGGTCTTAAGTCAGACGTTCACAACTTGCTTTGAAAAATGTTTTTGTATATTTGAGTTAAAGATACATTTTTTTGGTCAGCAGATACAGTGTAAACAAGAAGGTTTAGAGCATACTACAGAGAGGGAAGATGGTACATGGTAATGCTGTATAGAAACCAGATTTTCGATGGTTAGCGTGCAAGTGTCGCAGATGACATATCATCCTAATATGATGTGGAATATGACAATACATCTCTTCAAGATTTCTCGGACGTTCATTTAAATTTTATTTATTTTGAGATACTGACACTAGATTCGGACAGAGTAACTCCATTTTAGGTATTGCACTTCGTGATAATTTGACTTCCGCTATTATTGCGAACCATAAATTTAGTTCATATAAAATATTACGTCTTCATAAGTACTAAAGGGCAATGAGAGAGAGATGGTTACAAGTAGGGCTATTTCGATGATTATTGGTGAAGTGTTCGGTTCATGTTTTTTCTGGCTCGCTTTTTATCGGTCGGAGTATCACTTTTCAACGCTCTTGGATTTGCAATAGCAAATTGGCTTGTAGTAGTGGCTTACAATATTACAGGCTTTGGAAAAGATAACACATGCTTACTGAAGTCGCATTTGTAAATCGCTGGTCAAAATTTCAGATTTAGAAGTACTTGTGACAATGCTAAATATATCGAAATAGAGCTGAATTAGTTGGAAAGGGAAAGGGTGAATATAAGGGCGTGAATATCATGGTGTTGGCGGGAGGAACAGTCGAGATCAGTTTAGGGATGGATGACGCGCAGTATTTATTGCACTGCACGGTTCATTTTCCTTACAGTTCTCCTGGACTTCAAAAATCTGTTGCACGTGGCTATGCAAGAAGAATGCTGCAATCAATGACAGGACAGGGTTCAGGGTAACAACAGCACATAGAGATACTCATTAAATGGGCCACAGTATGACTAACACTGACATCTGCGCCAGACAGTGCAGCGAATGACTAGCACACACTGGAAAGTTCACTTTTGAATCAAACATTATGCGATGGATGGCTATTGCATCTTCTTCGATAAAACTTATATATATGTATATATATATATACATATATGCATATATATATATATATATATATATATATATATATATATATATATATATATATATATATATATATATATATATATATATATATATATATTATATTATATATATATATATAT